GGGAAGTTTGTGTCAGAACGGGGACCAAGTTTGTGTCAGAACAGGGCCTACGCCTCAACGTGAGAGTGTCGCGCAACTGGGAATGTCAGAGCCCCTGAGCTGTGAAGAGAGGGGAGGATTTTGCGCTGTCAGAACGTTGTCAGAACACTGTCAGAACACTGTCAGAACGCTGTCAGAACGCTGTCAGAACGGCCAGGTCTCTGTCAGAACATCTGTGGGAGCTCCACAAACCAGGTTAGCGAGGGCGGCGAGGCACTTAGCTCCCGACAAACTCGAGACGCTTTTCTGGGACATTTTCGACGCTTTTGTCCCATATACTCGCAAAACATGCCCTAAAGCCGTACGTCAGTATAGGGGATGGGACAAAAGCGTCGAAAATGTCCCTGAAGAGCGAGGTCATGGCTGACGCGCGCGAGACGTCGGCGGACTACCGGCTGACGGCGCTGGCGGCCGAGCGCAAGCGGGCGGAGGCGGAGGTTATTCTTGTAGTATAGTAAGGTGTTGCGTAGGAGCGGTACGTATTCTCGTATCACTAGCTCCGAGTAGAGGGGGCGCTCCGCAGCTAGGGGAAACCCAAAGCGCAGACCAACCCTCGGAGAGTATTGCTGTGTTACTAGCTCCGAGTAGAGGGGGCGTTCTGCAGTTAAGGGGAAACCCAATCACCAGGCCCCGACCGACTCTCACCAACTTTCTACAAGATGTTCCAGAGAATTCTCATACCCCACCTAGTCGACCTCTTCAACGAGGCCGCGAAGACCGGACACCTCCCCGAGTGCCTCACACAAGGAGAGAGAAAGCTGCTGGCGCCGCTGCCGATCCCAGCCGCGACGCCAGCAGCTTCCTCTGCTCTCCAATGCGCCGAGAAGCGACGCGGCGGTGCTCGGCTCGCCATGCACGATGACGGCTCCGCTGGGTGCTCGTCGGCCGGTCCGGTGGCACCCTATTCGCGCGTCACCTGCCGGCGTCCCGACGACAGCCTCGCGCCGCCGCTGATGGAGGGGCGGTCGGCGCCACTGCCGCCGCGCCGCCGGTGGGAGAGGCACTGGTGGTGGCCTGGGCGGCCCTCCGCCGCCGCTCGGCGCGCCCGGGCAGCGGTGGCAGCCTGCGCCGCCCCCGCTTCGAGCGGGCGCCCCCGCTTCGAGCGGGCGCCCCCCGCTTCCAGCGGGCGCCCGGGACGGGTTCCCCGCTTCGAGCGGGGAGATGCGGCCTGGGATTCGCTTTCTGAAATGTCTGCCTCCAAAGGGGAAACGCCCAACCTGATCTCAGAATCACTCGGTTTTGCGTGGCGACCTTCATTTCGGGGTCGAAGGTGCTACACACACTTGCCCCCTGGTGGTCTGGCACTCGGCGTTATCCCTACTGGGGTTAGAATGTTTTTCTTTTATTTTCTGAGCCTCGGGGGGCGGGGGGGGAGGGGGGAAGTGGGTCCCCGCGGTGTTTTTTCTTTCCTGTGAGTTTTCTTTCTATAACGGCGTTTTTCACTTTTTTCTTTTCTTTTTATGCTTATGGCAGTAAAAAGAAACGGAACTTTGTCGTTTGTGCGGCAGGCGCGGGCTCGGTCGATATCCCATACTTCGACTCACATCTTCACTGCTGCGGTGAGTGCCCGGGGAGGCGCGGCGGCGGGGTGAATGAAAAGGCGCTCTCAGAATGCACGCGCGCGCTGCAGTTTCTCTGATCGGGCTGCTGGCGGTGTGAGCGCGAGAAGGCGTGGTGAGGCGTGAGGCAGGCTATTGTTGTGGGGTGCGGGCTGCGTCGTTAGGCGTATGCGTGCACATGGTGCTGTATGCTGTGTACTTTGCTGTGTGTGCAGGCAGGCTGGCAGTGTGTGTGCTCTGTGCTGTGTGCAGGCAGACTGGACAGCGGACTGGACGGATGGCGGAGCGTGCGCGCAGCGTGCCACGCGCGCGCCTCGTGCAGTGCAGACCAGGCGCGTGGCGGCAGGGGCGCAGCGCGGAGCACGCGGGCTGAATGTTCAGAACAAGCAGGGCTGCTGTGCAGTCTGCATGCAGACTGCACAGCAGCCCTGCTCGGGTAACGTAGCGCGAGCTCGGTGGCCTGCGCGCGCGGCGTGCCGCCGCGCGCGCCTCGCGGTGAAGCGTCTTGCCGGTCGCGTCGCGCTCCGGTGCGGTATGGTGCCTGAAGAAGGTGCAGGCGCTTGTGCAATGGGCGCAGACTGCAGTGAGAGGTGCACTGCGGCGCGCGCGTCGCGGCGTGAGTGGTCGTGCGCCTGGGTCTGGTGGTGCGAGAGGCGCGTGGCTGGTGCGGGCGGCGCGGGCCGGCTATGGGGCGCCAGCACAGGGCAGACGCACATGGCACAGCTCTGAAATGGCGCTGCGCGTGTTTGCGTGCGCGCGGGGACGTACGCGCAGTTTTCACGCGGTGTGCGTGGAGAAGGGCATGAGAGGCGCCGGCCGCGCGTGTATTGGCGTGTGGGAGTGTTGGGGTGCCCGTAGGCGCGTGGGAAGGTGCCCGAAGGGCGATCATTTTCGGGGTGGGAAGGAACTGTTGTTCACAGCTTCGTGGGCAAAGGGCCAAAAAAAAGAAAAACGAAAAATGCGATCCGGCTTACATTTACCCCTGCGTTCTCGCACATGGAGTGCGAGGCTTCTCGACTGTTGCCAGCCCAAACTGCCACTCCCCTTTCTCCCGGCCGGGGTGGGGCGCGCGCGGGGGCGGCGGGTGTCAGTGCCAGTGCGGGATGTCTGTGGCACTACTCTGCGGCGGCGGCGCGAGGTGCGGCCGCAGCGCCGCCTCCGCCTCTGCGGGCGGGAGGAAGGCGCAGCCGAGCAGCATGTCGAGCATCGGGGCGTCGACCTGGGTGCCGCGCGGCTCGAGCGCGGAGCGCACCTGCGGCGCAGCACACGCGTCAGGCCCCTCCCGCAGCCAAGGCGCCCCCGCGCGGGGCCGCGGTGGCGGCGCGGCGCGCGCGCACCAGGTGGTCGTGCAGCTGCGACACGAAGGGGACGAGCTCCGACATGTCGTGCAGCGTGCGCAGCGCGAGCAGAGGACGCCTCCGCCCGTCCGCCGCCGGCGCGAGGAGGCCGCCTGCTCGCGGGCGTGGCGAGGTGCAGTGAGTGCTAACGGGCCGCTCCTCCGCGGGCGGGCC